CCACTGGCGCAGTATTTCATACTTGACTCGTAATAATAATTTATGTCGATCGCACAGGTTCGTTGTCCCTATCTATATTTCAAGAACAATTTCTTCCTGTTGCGTGTCTGTAGACTCGTGACCCATATTTTTCCTTTGTATTATACACGTCTACATATATATTTTAGAAATAATTCGTTAGAATTAATGTTTTTCCCCTACAAATTTTGTGTATTTTCAAACTGTAACAAGTAGCGCATTATTACACACTGTAGGTAATTCGACGGACTACACAATTTGAGGTTAGATTTTTCCCTTGTTCCCTAGGGTTGAGCCTCTCTTTACTAATTTTATAAAGGAACGATTTCATCGAATTCAATTAATAATTTCCTCGAAGACTTTATTTTAGTATTTTCAAATTTTTCCTAACGATAAAATCACAAAACAGGTTAAGAATTTTATATAGATACTAAAAATTTGAATTTCGACAGTTACTTTGCACCAAAATCATCCACAGATATCTATAATTTAAATTTCATTTGTACATTTCCTAAGTTCAATTTGTATTACCACCATAAAACTTAATTACGTTTCTCGCCGTAGCGGCGCCACCGTAGCGCAAAGGGTTAAAAAGACAAAAGTTGAACGGTTTTTCCCCGAAAGCACGGGACAGCCCCCAGTGCAGGAATCGCGTAGCAAAGATTTCCGAGCGAATTTCCGCGGAGAAATGATCGAAATGGATCGCGGATCGCTCGAAGAGAACGAACAGGCGGCGAAATAAACGAGGGAGGAAAAAGCGCGCAGCGTGGCGCTTCGTGGAACAATATTACGACAGCCGTCAGATTTAGGAGCGAGCTGGAAGGAGTGACGGGAGAGATGGTGCGCCGAAATTTATCGAACATCTCTCGACGGTTCGCCGATAAGACGTCAGGGGTTCCCCGGCCCCTCGAGCGCCGCGGTGAAACGACGCGTTCGAGACGAGAGAGGCGAGGAGCCAGCGCGCCGACTCGATGGTTTCGGCCTCGGAAATCTGGGCGGAGTTTCGAGCTACCGAGCCGAGCACGCGCCGCCCAACTTCGTCTCCTGTTCGTCCTTCCGCGCTCACCGTTCCCCACCGTACGTACGCGACGGGGCTTCCCAGCCACGGGGGCATCTTCCGCGGCGCAAACGCGCCACCACGTCGACTATTTAATTTCAGACCGACGCGACCGACGGTGGGGGGCAGACACTGGCCGCCGTCCGCAGCCGTATCGATGCTCGCCGTTTCTGATGCTCTTTGTTTCCTTTCTGACGATTACGAGCAGACCGGGGACCGCTCGAATAATTTAACCCCCGTGTCGACGACCGGTAAGGCAGTCCTGCGTTACTCCCTGTCTGAGCGCAATAATCACCAACCATATCAGTGGCAACCCTTTTCAAGCGCGACTATCTAGTAACATGCTCAATATCTACTGTTATTTTTTATGTAAAACTGTTCTAAGTGTCATATTTTTGGGACCTTTTGAATAATTTAACCCCTATGTCGACGACCGGTAAGGCAGTCCTGTATTATTCCCCGTTTGGGTCCAAAAATCACCAACCATATTAGTGGCAACCCTTTTCAAGCGCGACTATCTAGTAACATGCTCGATATCTACAGTTATATTTTATGTAAAACTGTTCTAAGTGTCATATTTTTTGGACCTTTTGAATAATTTAACCCCTATGTCGACGACCGGTAAGGCAGTCCTGTGTTATTCCCAGTTTGGGTGCAAAAATCACCAACCATATTAGTGGCACCCCTTTTGAAGCGCGACTATCTAGTAACATGCTCGATATCTACAGTTATATTTTATGTAAAACTGTTCTAAGTGTCATATTTTTGGGACCTTTTGAATAATTTAACCCCTATGTCGACGACCGGTAAGGCAGTCCTGTATTATTCCCCGTTTGGGTCCAAAAATCACCAACCATATTAGTGGCAACCCTTTTCAAGCGCGACTATCTAGTAACATGCTCGATATCTACAGTTATATTTTATGTAAAACTGTTCTAAGTGTCATATTTTTTGGACCTTTTGAATAATTTAACCCCTATGTCGACGACCGGTAAGGCAGTCCTGTGTTATTCCCCGTTTGGGTGCAATAATCACCAACCATATCAGTGGCAACCCTTTTCAAGCGCGACTATCTAGTAACATGCTCAATATCTACTGTTATATTTTATGTAAAACTGTTCTAAGTGTCATATTTTTGGGATCTTTTGAATAATTTAACCCCTATGTCGACGACTGGTAAGGCAGTCCTGTGTTAATCCCCGTTTGGGTGTAAAAATCACCAACCATATTAGTGGCACCCCTTTTGAAGCGCGACTATCTAGTAACATGCTCAATATCTACTGTTATATTTTATGTAAAACTGTTCTAAGTGTCATATTTTTGGGACCTTTTGAATAATTTAACCCCTATGTCGACAATCGGTAAGGCAGTCCTGTGTTATTCCCCGTTTGGGTGCAATAATCACCAACCATATCAGTTGCAACCCTTTTTAAGCGCGACTATCTAGTAACATGCTCAATATCTACTGCTATATTTTATGTAAAACTGTTCTAAGTGTCATATTTTTGGGATCTTTTGAATAATTTAACCCCTATGTCGACGACTGGTAAGGCAGTCCTGTGTTAATCCCCGTTTGGGTGTAAAAATCACCAACCATATTAGTGGCACCCCTTTTGAAGCGCGACTATCTAGTAACATGCTCAATATCTACTGTTATATTTTATGTAAAACTGTTCTAAGTGTCATATTTTTGGGACCTTTTGAATAATTTAACCCCTATGTCGACAATCGGTAAGGCAGTCCTGTGTTATTCCCCGTTTGGGTGCAATAATCACCAACCATATCAGTTGCAACCCTTTTTAAGCGCGACTATCTAGTAACATGCTCGATATCTACTGTTATATTTTATGTAAAACTGTTCTAAGTGTCATATTTTTGGGACCTTTTGAATAATTTAACCCCTATGTCGACAACCGGTAAGGCAGTCCTGTGTTAATCCCCGTTTGGGTGTAAAAATCACCAACCATATTAGTGGCACCCCTTTTGAAGCGCGACTATCTAGTAACATGCTCAATATCTACTGTTATATTTTATGTAAAACTGTTCTAAGTGTCATATTTTTGGGATCTTTTGAATAATTTAACCACTATGTCGACAACCGGTATGGCAGTTCTGTGTTAATCCCCGTTTGGGTGCAAAAATCACCAACCATATCAGTGGCAACCCTCTGTACGCGCGACTATCGAGTCAAATGCTCAGTATCTATTATATTTTATGGAAAAATTGTCCAACATTCCATGTTTCTGGGACCTTTCGAATAGTTTCTATGTCACAACCGGTAAGGCAGTTCTGTGTTATTCCCTATCAATGTTTTTCAGTAAATTTTTCGCGAGAAATTTAGTTTTACGATGGTTGCGCCCCGTATATAAGAATTGTAAGAGTGAATCGAATTTGCTCGACGATGGGGCTCTTTAGGCGTCGCTGTTCCCTTTTACGCGCGAAAGCTTATCGATATCCACTCGCTGAAATCTCGACTTCCCCGCTTTTTTGTACGCGTCTCCTGAAACAAAAGATGATGACTGTAATTTTCGCGAGAAGTGTCTGCAGTGGCGGCCCATTTGACGCCACGCCACCCTCTATCAAGTACCGCTTCACCGAGAGATTTTACATGCGCGAATTGCAACAATAGTCACACTTTTGCACGATCTTTTATCCCGTCACAAAAGAATTACAACTATACTATTAAGTGATTGTAATTTATACAAGGTGACTCACACGACTTAATCAAATTAATTTATTCTATTACCAACGAGTTTTTCAAATGATTCTACTAAATTTTTTGCAAATTACTTTCTTGCTGGAAGTTTTGAAGAATTGTTTAGGTTTAAAAAAAAGAATAAATTAATTTCTATTCTCTAAATGTAACGTTCGTAACAAATTACTTCACATTGGTTGAAAATGTAGCTGGTCGACTAAAGAATTAGAAAAAAGCACAATTTGTTGGATCGAACGAACATCGTAAATAAATCGTGACGAGTTCGTACAAGATTTTGCTCCTTTGGAGCCTACGCGACGGCCATTTTGTAAATCGGTGGCTCTCGAAGGGTAGACCAGTCGACCAGTACATGAGAATTGCAAGGTTACTCGACTGGAAATGGCGGTGACGTTGCCACGAAGGCCACGCCGCTAACGTAACGGGTATTTTATTCATTTTATCCATTATTGTGACCGATTTGTTTAGGTTAATTTGTTGGGGAAAATTATCAGATTGCCTTCGACCGAATCGCTCGAACATCATCGACGTGTAATCGTGTCGGATCCATCACTATGGAGCCGTTAGTTTATCGGCGAAATCTAGCTAATGAATCATGACAAAAGCGGAGAAAAGCTTGTTGAACTTAATCGACAGCGCAATCTGATTACCCCGTGACTGGTAAACCTCATTCGTAATTTATCGACCGACATTCAATGCATTAACATTGATCTCGACGCTAATACGTGACTAATACGCAACGAATGGATGACTTGTTATGATCGATTCAGCGAATAAACGAAAGGGGCATCGATATCATCGATAATGCACTTTCGCGTACTCTAGTTCTCTGTTGCTCTAGCTGTCTGCTCAATACAACAGCCATTATTGTACATTTTATCATATTTGCGAACTTTTAAACGGTGAATGAAGTATTCAAACAGTATCGAGATCACCTGGGAACCCCTACAGAGCTCTTTTAATTATCTTTACAACGTTGATCCTTTTCTGTTTAATTGTATCGAGGATGCAGACCTAGCAAAAGACGAAGTCGTTAATTTTTGTTTCGTATCGTGAAAATACTGTACTTAATATCGTATTGCGTAATAAGTACCGTCCTTAATATTGTACGAAAAGAATTTATTGACGCGTGCAAGTGTATTTTATTTTTCAAATTTACGCGTTCGAGATAAAGTCTGCGTACGTAAGGGAACCTCTTCTTTTTTTTTCCAGAAAGCACAACTTCGCATTGCGTGGGCTGCGGCGGACGAATTCACGACCAGTGGATCTTACGAGTTGCGCCAGATTTGGAGTGGCACGCCGCTTGTTTGAAGTGCACGGAGTGCCAGCAATTTTTGGACGAGAATTGCACCTGCTTCGTGCGGGATGGAAAAACTTACTGTAAACGGGATTACGTCAGGTAATGAATTATTCAATGTATTAAACGTGACAGTGTCGAAATTGGGAAAAAGTTTCAGAATCGGAACGTACGATCGCGAATAATCTGATAAATATATTAAGCGTGCCGTAAAAAGGAAAGGGAATTAAAATAACGAAAAATTGGTACGAAATTTTCTACAAAATTTTAGAAACTTTTCCTACCTCTTTTTGAAAACCAATTATCCATAAAAAAAGAACAGTTTTTGAAACGCTGTTTTACCGCGTTAATTTTCAAAGAGCCTTCCTCTTTATTTGGCGGACCGTGTTTATCTTATAATTCGCGTGCAAAGAAAATTAAAAGAAGGGCGTACGCCTTGCGAGATCTTTGGTGAAAAAGTAAAAAATAAAAAGAGGACAGGACCGAGTGCACTATGGTAATTAATGCAAAACTGGTAGCATTCTCGAACGACACGCGATACGGTCTTTTCGGTACGCGTTCGCAAACGGTGAGATTCCAGGCAAATAAAAACAGAAAAAGAAAGGGCTTCGGGCGAGGGAGAGAGACAGGGAGGGAACCGAAGAAAGTAAGAACTGACAGACCGTTTCTTCGGAGTATTTTTATCTGAGATATACTGAGCAGAAGCTGCAGCCCGCTTGGAGAAATGCATCCGTAACAAAAAGTGCAGTTCACACGTGGTTGCTTCGAACAGACGGAATCGAACGGAGAATTAATGTCTCCGACTTCACAGTGACGCACAGTAGTGGGGGCCCATTACGTACTGAACATACTAAAATCTCGTTTTCAAACATTGTTCTTACGATGAGAAATTTCACGATTATAGTATTAACTTCCGACTGTACTCTGGATTATAAAATAACAAATAGAATTATTTATGCTGCTACTATACAATTTCAATGGTATCGATGATAGAGTTAAATGAGACTTTAGAAATATAAATAATGGGCACGTGACTGTCTGGGTTAGGTAAATGTTAATGAACGTAAACTTCCAACTGTACTTTGGATTATAAAATAACAAATAGAATTATTTATGCTGCTACTATAAAATTTCAATGGTATTAAATAGATAGAGTTAAATGAGACTTTAACAATGTAAATAATGGGCACGTGACTCCATGCTCGATATTATAGAAGGTTAATTTTACACTTTGAAATTGTTAATTATTACGTAACAACGTTGTTAAGCTTCGTCATTACTCAGGTTTTAGAATATATACGCAACATGTACAAAGATAGAATATTGATGTAGTAAATGAACGTGTAAGAGGCGAGGTGAAGCTGAAAACGCCATTACAAAACCTAACCTCGTAAAATATTATTTCGGAGTATTAACTTCGTCGTTACTCGAGTTTCAGGCTGTATACGCACACATGTGTAGAGATAAAATATCAGTAAATGCATAAGAGACCAGATGCAGCTAGAAACGCCATTAAAAAACCTAACCTCGCACAAATCGCGTATGCGCGTTACCGCGAAGTCCGAGAGGGTCGAATACAACGGTAAAGTTTCTATTTAAACGTGGAATTAAGTAACCACCGACGTAAAACGCGAATAATATAAACAAATAGATGATTCCGCGCCATTTGCAACGTAATCCGAAACGAGTGGTGTCCTCGAAAAGAAAGACGAGACTTTTTAACTGGCAGCATTGATCGGGAATCCCCTCCCCCTCTCCCGCCCTTCTATCCTGGCAACCTGCGCCAAATATTTTTCTCCGCCCGGGACAGACGGTTTATTTGCATTGATCCATCGGACGTCGAAATGCCTCCGAAACGAAGAAGAAGACTGGCGTATCCGGTCGACACGGATTTGCCAGGCCTCGAGAGACACCGATGACGCGTGTTTGTTGTTACTATCGCCTTGTTCGAAAAGTCGAAACAACCGGGGCAAAATGTTCCCTTCTGGGTGTTCCCTCGCGTAAAGTTTTGGTGCTTCCATTGCCTTCCGACCGAAGGGAGAGCTTTCGAAAGTTGGCCGAATAAAATTATTTTGAAACGACTAATCCAATCCCAATACTTACCCCGACTATTCCTCCATAAATGTTACGGATTCTATTTCACACAAGTAAAGAATTCACAGCCGCATGCAGCCAATGGGGACATTGATACTAAACAGTTGACGAATAAAGCGTAGCAATTTTATATATTCTACTTTTTATTAATAAATTGTATTACTACATTACCCATGGTTGTGTTTATTCAGAATAAAAAACTAATTTTTAAGAAATATCGACAGGGGGAGGCTCAATTTTTCGGCGAAAAAAAAAATTTCAAATTGGTCTGGAAAAATTATTTTTAGTTGCGGGGGTTAATTACAAACATTTTTGGTCAATAGACATACACTCAAAATCTTATGAATTTTCGAGAAAAAAATTCCAGTAGGTGGAGAAACTTTTCGACGAAATTAAAAAATTTCAAATCGTTCTGAAAAAATTATTTTTCACGAGGGTCAATTACAATCATTTTTGTGGGGTTAAAATAATTTTGGAACGACCGTTTTCTTGCAATTGTGAAATTTATTTTTGTGGCGTTTTTCGGTGAAATTGTGCGAAACGGGGACGTTAAAAATTATCTTTTGCGAGTTTCAGTTTACAAATTTGATACAATGAAAATTATTATTATTTGTTTGAGAAAAATTGTTATGGTATGAGGTATGCAAATACTCCTTTTGCCCAACAATAAATACCTGAGCGACGAGTTGGAGGTAAAATGCTGTCGTTGTAGCCTAACTTCAAATGTCACAACAGCCAAGGTGTCGAACAATAGCATCAGAAATACCAACGCCAACGCTGCGTCAATTATTAATTTCTAAATATGATTTATCGTTATTGTTACCTTCGTGTTTCTTCATTTTTACCCGCACACCGAGTATTCCTTTCGTTCGATCCTAAAAGATGATTAAATAACCGTGTTACATTGTATCATAGCTGAAAAGCGACTGAAATGTGAACTATTTCGATTATTTGTCATTTAAACACCGTGATGTAATTAGTCGAGTAACTGTTAGTCGATCGACTGCCTCCGAAGTGGATTCTGTGCCGCACGAAACTTTATTATTAATAAAATTAGGTAATTTTGAGGTCGCTCAACTAATGAATGCAATTTACCTCGATCGGAGAAGCCGAGACACAATTAGCTTAAAAACCGATAATTAACTGTTCCATTCAACGTGTAAGCGAAATTTCGCGGAAACGTGCAAACACGTGTAAGAGAACGTAAATTGCCACAATTAATTAACTTACGAATAAAGAAAGTTTACCGCGATTTCATCTCGGATGAAAATAACTCAGCCGTTCTATTATTACTTGAGATTTTATAGAGTTCTCGGAATAGGTATTGGAACATCCATACAATTTAATTTAATGCTTGCTCGAGGTCAACGATTTTTTAAGATTAGAAATCGAAACATAAATCGACTGCATATATTAGTTATTTACCTACACTCACTACGAGGCTTCCTCGAAAATCTCCATACCAGAGACACCCAGAGACGCCGAGGCTGCGAAATAAATAAAAGTTTAAACTCGGAATCGACCCATGACATCTATTAGCGTCATGTTGCGTCGCGAAAAAGTTTAATTATGATTATTTATTCACAACTCGAGCGGTGACCTCCGTGCATACGGTATTCAAAATACGTTGAAAATTAAATATGCACGGGGCGATATCGACGAAGAAGCTAACGCAATTAAATTCTTTTTTCTGATTACCAGACTGCCCGATCGGGGCAGAAATTATCGACGAGCCGCGATCGAAAATCCGATTACTGACCGAACCGATCGATAATGAAATTTGTTCCAGGCTGTTCGGCACGAAGTGCGACAAGTGCAGCGAGTGCTTCAGCAAGGACGACTACGTAATGAGAGCGAAGAGCAAGATTTATCACATAAAGTGCTTCCGATGTTCGGCGTGCATGAGGCAGCTAGTACCTGGCGACGAATTTGCCTTGAGACAGGATGGTCTCTTCTGCAGACACGATCACGACGTGCTCGAGGGTGGAAAGCTCTGTTCGGGGGCTGGCGGTGTTCCCGGGAACGAGAACAACAACAACGCGTCCCTCATGAACAACAACCACCATCTGCATCCCAACGACGGCTCGATATCAGGTAAACGGACCATTTTGTTCGCGTTCACTGCCACGTCACCCACATAGAGACAGCATGATTTACGAGGGTCGTTCAATAAGTCCTCAGAAAAAGATAGAAAAAGAAATTATTTTAGGTAGATTTTTCTTTATTTTTCGACATAATCTCCTCGAGGCGTTAATCCGACTGGAAATTTTCATAAAACGGTGCACGATTGGACACTGGATGACTCTTATCGCGTGGTTGGATGGGAGCAACTTACTTGAGGATTAAATTGTCTGAACATGGGCTATCAGGGCACAAAGGGTAAATTTGCGAAAGGGTACACGCTCTAGGGGTAGCTCAAAGGGACCTTCTGACATAACGGTATTGTGTTAGGATCTCGGGTCATAATTAGGTGTTGATAATTGAAGCCGCTAAGACCTGGAAGGCTTGACCACTTCCCTCCTACGCAGCGGGATTACACAGGATTACTGTTTCTCGAGCCAGCCGTCCTAATATGTGAATACACATTGAATGGATAGGCTGGATTAAACCTCCAATGAGGCTCGCGTTCGTGATAATTTAATTACACGAGTTCGCGTCGCATTACACCGCCCGTGGGTCGCGAAAATACGCGAAACGTTAGAAGCTGACGAACTTTATAGGAATGTGTACTTTTATACGTTTATTAAATGGCACTCAAGCAAAATGGTTCTCAAAAATGTCATTCGAGAAAAATGGTACTCGAATAAAATGGCACTTGATTAAAATTGTAATGGTGATAATCGTACTCAGAAAAGGCACTCGAGCAAAATGGTACCCAAAAATGGTACTCGAGAAAAATGGTACTCGAATAAAATGACACTTGATTAAAATGGTAATGGTGATAATCGTACTCAGAAAAGGCACTCGTGCAAAATGGTTCTCAAAAATGGCACTCGAGCAAAATGGTACCCGAGTAAAATGGCGCTTGATTAAAATAGTAATGGCGATAATGCTCGATTAAAATGAATGTGACTAAAAGATATTTGCATGGAATCTATTGTGAAGCTCGCGAGGAAGAGGAGATTTATTCGATTGTTTATTTTTTCTCTGACGAAACTGTGAATCGAGACGAATATTTTTGTTATCCAGCGTACATTTAGACGTACGTTCTAACGACTTGTCACGGCGTTGGTTAATTGGTGATAATTGGAAATTGTATAGTATGGGAGACAGGGGTCGGCCGGAAACACGTCCCTCCTAATTCTCGCCGTAAACAATTTCGTAGAGTCGCGCGCGACCCGCCTATATTCGATGGTGTTTGTCACTTGGCTTCCTTATGGAAATTGTTGCGTCTAAACATCTTTTTCACCGATCCACGACAAGACGTGTACCACGGGGACCGGTGACGGCAGTGGTTTGACAACTCTTTACAGAGGCGCCGAGGTGTCAAATGTAACACCTCTCTGCCAACTACCGTGGCACATAACTACGCACGATCCCTTTCATTTCTATTTTTTCTTCTTCTCCTTTATGAAAGTTTATTCATTTTTGTCTCCCTTTCGGGAGTCGCTTCCTTCTTACCCAACTTAATGGGAGGACCAGCTATGAAAATCACGTTCCAAGCAAGATTTTTAACCGTCGTTGGCCAACTTCTTTTCTAAAATTCTTGGCGTTTATTAATACTCGAGAGGAACTGACACATGTAACACCTCGGGTTACTAGTTGGCGCGGATTTCAAGACGCGGCTAAAGCCTTTGTAATCGAAACACCGTTTGATCGCCATTGATCATTCGCAGACTTTGCTGAAATTTTTGTTTGTATAGAAATTGAAAAGTTTGTATAGAAATATTTACTTTTTCGTAGATTTTTCTTCACGACGTATCAGACTCTTCGTTTATATTTGTTGTATATTTGTTTGCTTTTTTGTACGATTATAATTTTGTTTAATAGCATTATATTGCTCGACTAGTTTCATGTAATTTCTTTCAGTTAGGGATGAAAAGATCTTTCTTCGTCGCCAAAAAAACCAATAAAGGTTTTAACTATTCCTACATCTACAGAAAAGTTCATCCTTCAAGTAAAAGAAAATAATGATCTTCTGTACCGTTCGTTAATAGCAAAATGATTTGAACAACGCCATATTTTTTGGAATAGTCTGGTAGCAAGAACCCGTAAAAATAGTCGTAGGATTTCGTTTGCTCGTCTTAGCATCCGCAAACATTCGATTTCGTGCGGCCACCAAATCCTTCCGAAGGACGCCGCCAAGGAAACTGGATCCTTATCGCGGCACGAGTTACTTATTACTCGTTAATTGGGAGTTAATGAAATTCGACGCTCAACAGGTTTCGCTGTTTGGCCGGCTAAAATGTGCCCGAAAGGTTTGTGATTCTTCTTTTTCTGCTCGTTCGAGCGCTTCTTCGCTGATCGATGCGACCAACAAGGGAGCCGAACCCGAAATCCGTGATCTTTGTTCAAAGTTTACTGACTCGTAGAAACAAACATTTATTTTTCATTTTCAATTCCAACACAAATTTAACTAACTACAGAATCTATAAATAAAACATTGCGATGACAATTTATATTTTTTTAACATCGAGAAGATTTGGTGAAAACTCAAAACTTTTGTATTCTGGATGATCCAACGACCGCTTGAAGACTATATTTTTGTAAAACTGTTCTCGATTTCCGTGCAACCTCGAAAGCTGATCAAACTTGGGAACGATTTCACGCGAGCCAACGGAGCTCAGGCTCTTCTCGATGACGTTCGATCTCACGGAAACGGTCACCGAGACGTCTTGGATCTTCCTTTTTGGGCTCGACGCCGATCGCGGAATCGCGGTCAAAGTTTGCTCATCGACAATATTGTCTTTCGCCTCTCGAATACCCGGCAGGCGTTCGTCTTTGCGTTCTCCATCCGCCATGTTGAACCACTATCCGGATCTCCCATTAGCCAGCGAGGAACGTTTCGCAGGACCGGTTGGGACGACAATCGCAGGCATTCTACTCTGCATTCTCCTGATTTAGTCGCGTTGCTCTTCCTCGAGAAGTCCGCTTCCAAATAAGCAGCGTCTCAGCCCATGAAATAGTCCTTCGAAACCTTCCTCGTTGCAAACTTCTTCAAAAAAATATTTCTCTATTACATTCCCGTTATCCAAAACAAGTGATTTAAGGTGGTCAAGTTAGAAACACTCTGCATATCGATGAGAAACAGTGTAAGTCGATGCAGATAACTTTGTTGCAACTGGACAGGCAGGTATCCTCAAAATACATCTTCGATTCCATAACTACTAATCGTTGATAAGGAGTCTGAATCAAACGATTTATATCTGTGAATATATCTAGGGCTTGATTACTTTATTTAACTTACTTTATAGCAACCTGACAGGGAGGTATCCTAAAAATACATCTTCGATTCAATAGCTACTAATTGTTGACATGGAGTCTAAACTATACAATGAAGATCTGTGAATGTATCTAGGACTTGTTCCACTATTTAACTTACTTTGTAGCAACTTAACAGGGAAGTATCCTAAAAATACATCTTTGATTCTATAGCTAGCAATTGTTCATAGGTAGTAATTACTACAAGGAGTCTAAACCATACAATGTAGATCTGTGAATGTATCTAGGACTTGATTTCACTATAAATCATGAACTATTTATATAGAAACATTAAAATGTCAACTATCTGACCTAAAATGATCCACAGATCGAATCTCGAAAGATTGACACGACTAATCGTTGCCCTCAGATTCCGGGTCCGAAAGTGGATCGCACAAGGCCAGCGTGGGTGGGAATCGAGGATCGGGCAGCCATAAAAGCAGCGGCGGTTCTGACGGAAAGCCGACCAGAGTGCGCACGGTTCTGAACGAGAAGCAGCTCCACACTCTGAGGACCTGTTACGCCGCGAATCCTCGACCTGACGCGTTGATGAAGGAGCAGTTGGTAGAAATGACGGGGCTCAGTCCGCGCGTGATCAGGGTATGGTTCCAGAACAAACGTTGCAAGGACAAGAAGAAGACGATCGCCATGAAGCAACAGATGCAGGAAAAGGTGAGTACAGCGTGTGTCTGGACGACGATGAGCTTATTCATTCGCGTCAGAACACTCGTGAAACTTTCGTTCGCACGCAGAGCAACAATTTAACGAATCGAAGTGGTTTCCGTTGCAGGACGGTCGTAAACTAGGCTTCGGAGGAATGCACGGGATTCCTATGGTGGCCAGCAGTCCTGTGAGGCACGAGAGTTCCATAGGGATGACGCCACTGGAGGTGCAAGCTTACCAACCACCGTGGAAAGCGCTTTCCGACTTTGCTCTTCACACTGACTTGGACAGGCTAGACCCTAACACACCTTCGTTCCATCACTTGGTATCACAGGTAATTTCACTGCAACAGTATTTAGTGTAACACTAGTGGAAAGTAGCTATTCCAATATGTCTGCTTTCTCTGGACATGAGTTATATTTTATCATTGCATTCGAATGTTATATTCGAACAAAAGATGGCGTGCATGTTTGCCAACATGGAAAAGAGAAACATTTCCAACAATGATTATAATTATTACATTTACATTATTAATTATAATAGATATAACTAATAGTTTTATAAATCGATATTTATTAAAACATCATACAATTGAAATTGTATGAACAATTTTACTAATAATAATTTTAATAATCATTGCATTTCCATAATTGGAGACACTATATTTTATTGACGAAAGATGACTTGATAATTTTTGTTTCAGATGCACGGCTACGATCTCCACGGTGGACCACCTCAATTACCACCGCCAGGTATGCTCGGTGGACCTATGAACGACGGCGGAGGTGGTGGAGGCGGCGGTCCATTGCCACCACCCGGACCACATCATCCTGGCAGCGGTGGACCAGATATGGGACAGCATCCCGACAGCACGGATAGCTACGTAACTTATCTCGAAAGTGATAGTGACTCCCTTCACCACGATACAGGAAGTCCATAGTGTTGTGCAGTGGGCCAGAACGAAAGTGTCCGCTTTCTTCGTGGTCTTCTTTTAACAAGTGCTTGAAGAGAATAGTAGTCTGCGTGGACACATAGGGTGAAATGAACAGCAAACACGGAACGATGAAAGTTGTTCGGATACTTGCAACATTTCTGAAAGGTAGCTTGACCCTTTCGCGCCGGAACCACGGTTAAACTTGAGAAACCAGCGAAGGTTTGTTACCGAAATTTACACAAATACTGACTCTTGTTTTACAGTAATATTCTGACAAAATCGCAACGAAATTGTATTTGCATAAATTATTGGTATATTTATAGCGCGTACGCGTTCTACTTACTCTTTTTAAAAATTTGTAAATTAATATTTAAATGTGTATTAAATGTGAAATGTTATGTACTTTCTCTGCAAAATTGGGTTAGCGGTATGTAAGCGCATGAGATAATTATTTTACGAACAATTCGACAACGAATAATTTTGCAGCTATAGGAGTAATACATAATTACTTTAACGGTGCAATAGGAGAAATTTTTTTAATAATTTAATAACTGGATAACAATGAAGTACAATGAATCCAGAAAGTAGTTATAACCCCTACTATTAACGCTGTTAGTAGAGAAAAAGATGAAACACAACGCTACTATAGTCGTGGGACAACTATATTTTGGCTCATTATACTTTAACAGATATCAAAAGTGTATTTCGATTTCATAAAAATTATTATTAATGTCCTAAATATTTTTCTACAAAGATATTAAATATTAATGTTGTCTAATTCGATTCTGATTCCTCCTTGCCGCGACGAAATGGTTTCAAACAAAATTAACGATTTAACTCGATAACGGCGAAGTTAATTTCCGCGCGAAAGGGTTAAGAACAATCAACCTTTTCTGTAATAAAAAAACTAAAGAAAACGAAAGAATTGTAACGATGAAAATAATTCGCAGGAACAAGAGCTTAAATAATAAACGATCGAAGCGATTTTGCCGTCGTCAGGTCGGAAGGAATAATTAAAAAATTATCGTGAAAACTCCAGGGAAGAAGATGCGTGTCTGATCCGAACTTCGGGGCGAATAAAAGTCGACGGTTATTTAAGAATATTATTTTGCCAAAATTGTAAGCGTCGTGCTCCAAAAGTTTCGCAAATTAAACATTCGTGTCGTGGACGAGAGAAACTCGATTATTAATTACGAATAAAATCTGTTCGACGGAAGTCTCAGGTACTGTTGGAAGCTGACGAGAAAGGACCTGGGAAAAGAACGCGTCCGATTGGTCGGAACGCTCGACCTATGCGCACGCGCTAAGCGTTATCGAGCACACGTAATCCCGTCCTTCTAGTTATCGCGTAGTGAATCCCCGCCACTCGCCGGAACTGTGCGCGCAGGTCCTGCCCTACCATCTGCTCCCTCTCAGTGTATTTTTATTTTCTCGTTCAGAGTCAAACGAGCACAACGTCAAACAGCACCGTATCACACCTGACCTTCAAGCTGTCGCTCGAGCAACATTGTACTACCACGGACACACGTTTCAAAAAGCAGATTCGAGAAGGTTTTTCTTTGTATCATGGTACGTATCCCAGGTTCATTTTTGTCAGCTCCCAACAGTAGAATATACATATAATGATTTATCAAACTATCGACGATCGAATTTGTCGTAGTAATGGTCGAATAATGGTCGTAAATTAAAGTCGGAAACGACGAATGACCGAAGAAACGAGATTGTTATAATTTGCAAAGCGAATACGGTAGAGAAAGTGAAAATGACGATTAATTTGAATATTTATAAAGATAGTTTGCCGCCGTGCAGATATTTTTAAGCGAAATTCACCCTCGTACACTGAAACTGTCGAAGAAATTGACAGCGATCGATTGGAATAATTTCGTGAAAAAATAACAACTCGTTCATTGTATATTAATTATCGAATAATAGAAATTAATTAACGATTTCGAAATCCCGTCGAATCGTTTCGTCGATGTTTATACAGTTTCAGTGAATTTTTACGAGCGGAGGGGTGCAATACATATAGTGAAATTTTTCTTAGATCATCCCTCGAAACAATAAACTGTTGTATAATTAAGTTTTCAATAATTTGTTGGGAACGTAGTGTTGTGTTGGCGACAAAAGTTATCGGGAGGATGAACATTAACGTATCGATGTTGAACGAATTGTGATTACGTCTGAAATTCTGTTTCGCGTCTGAAATCCAGCGATTGCGTCGAAAGTTAACGGTAATTGAATTTTGTATCTTTTGTGCTTTGGATGATCTTTGTTTATTCTCGAGTTTCTTTTAAACTCGTTGAAACGACCAAAGAGAGTTTTTATCACCGAGACAAAGAAAGAGGGAGAAAAAAGGGAGAACGACGTCGCAGTTTCGTCGACAGAGTTGGGCAAATTTGTGTATAAAAAGAAAAAAAAAAAGAATCGAAATCAAAACAGTAATAATGTGTGTTCGTTCGTGGTAAATAAAATATTTATTTGAAGAAAATTTTATTTGTGAATGAAGGATAACCTTTCTGTTCAAATTTTACAAAAAAGTTGTTTTCTTTTATCATTTCGAAAGGCCCCTTTTCATCTTCCAATAATTTACATCCACGTTTTTGTTCGTGTTCTCGAAAATTATTTTATCATTTCTTTTCTAGAAATTAGTACTTTCCAGTATTGATAATTTCGATGTTATCGACACTCGCGATAATTTCTTTTCGAGTGTTTATATTTTAATTATTGCGTACAAAGTAATTGCTTACGATATTCATTGCAGGTATGTATAGAAGGGTTAAATAGATTTTGTGTACTAATATTTAAATAACCTTTTAAATTAAACATCTTTGTTAATTTTGATGAAAATTATAGTCGAACGCAACGTTAAACAGAAACTTTAAATTTCATTTGTACACATGTTCAGCCTCGTGTAAAGATCGACGCTGCATTAGAAATTTTTATTTAATAAATTTAAAAATAATTAAGTATCTCATCGGTCATTCAAATTCAAATCACTTAAATTGTGACATGGTAAGGTCTCTTTGGAGGGAATAAAATTCAAACGCGTGCAATAACACTTTCCAATCTTTGGAGGCAAGCATTTTAGTTGCGATCCAAAAAAAAAAATTATAAAAATTGTACACGCTCGTCGAAACGTTTCTCGATGTAAGTCCACGTTAAATGTTACTACCAAATTTATTCGCGTTGCGTGTAATTTTCCATAATACGACAAAAAGTGAAAAAAAAAGAAAATGTTCAACTCTGATCGCCCAGCTGCGCTGCTGAGAGCAAAGAAAACGCCTAACTTTACGTTGTAAATATAATTGTGCCCGCTGTAAATTCAGGTCGCAATATACCAACGGGCGGAGTTCACTCGTAATATCAATAAACGAATAGCCGACTCACGTTTAAAGAATAAAGAAGTTAATATCGACGATAGCACGTTATTCCCGATTTACGTTGTAAGTCGTATTGTAAACACAGGTATGTACATTCGATTAATACCAAAGTGTGCGGGAGTTTCATGTGAACACAGGAACGCACTGAATTGTAAATAATAGTCCCCGAAACCCCCCTCAACCCCTTCCCCCATTTCCCCCTACGTTTCATTGTCGCTAATTAGTGGTTCGTTTTAGTGGTGATTCGTTTAGATGTTTGTATAGAATCGTTCCACATCGCTCCTCTTGTAATGTACATGTATAAAAGCGAGAACATCGTAAACCCAACGTTTTCGTAATCTACCCGGATCGTCTTCGGATTTGTATAACATTTCTATACCGGCGCACACGTAATAAATTGTCCAATTAAATTACTGGTATCTCGATTCATTTGTCACAAGACCTGTAACACTTTTTGTTACCGATTTTTTACTTATAACGTCTTCCAAAGGTACATTAGGCAGCATGCATCATATTATTCATTATAACTACACCCAGTTTATTCGAAATTTCTTTTTAGAATTCTAATTAAAAATTTTCAGAGTAACATTTTCATTAAAAATTTCGTTTTTAGTACAGGCATACAGGGTGTTCAGTAACCCATGGGGAAAATTATAATGGGGGATTCTAGGTGCCAAAATAAGACGAAAATCAAGAATACCACTTTGTTGATTGAGGTTTCTTTAAACAGTTATTAACGTTCAAAGTTTCGCCAGTAGAACGGCAATTTGCGAACAGCTGCGCGCGCACGTTAGTGGTTCTCATTCACAAAACTGTAAGACTGTCGATATGTCAGACAGTTCTACGTTAATAACTTTAAACGTTAATAACTCTTTAACAAAGCCTCGATTAACAAATTACTATTCTTGATTTTTGTCTTATTTTGGCCTCTAGAATCTCCCGTTAAAATTTTTCCCATGGGTGGCCGGACACCCTGTATAAAGTAACACTTTAAACGATAAAATTCATTAAAAAAAATTGTGAGCATATTTTTTTTAATATTGCATGAATAGTACAATATTATTTTGTTAATTATGAAAGAAAATATACTTACCGATGGTGGTGGAATGTTTTCAATAGCCATAACAAGATTCATCGTTCATAATAATTAAAATTAATTATTCATTATAAACATGTATATTTGTTTCAAAAATTAATTTATCATATCGAATTTCACATATTTATAAATTTAAATGTAGGTAACCTAACAAAAGTATTATGCATGTATGTTTCCAAACATTGTGTTACAAAAAGAAATTTACAATCTAGAAAACATAAATAGACGACTTCTAAATTATAATTTAAATTATCGTTATTATACAGGAATTATATCGTATGACTTTAACAGTTATATAGCAGACATCTATTGATTTTAATTAGTTGCAGTACATTGTAAAATCTGTAAACTTAAATAAATTGACGTTAGGTGAAAATGACCCGTATACATTTCAAGCTGAACTACTGAATTGTACTGAAATAGGTGTACACATAGAAAAACATAGTCTTACACGTAGAAAATAGTATTTAGATTCTTAAATTTTATCATTTAACGAGAACGCCGAGGTTTCTATCATTACGAAAAATAAATGCAACAATTGTATCGATAAGTGAGATATAGATCGAACATTCGATCCGACGATAAAATTTAATAGCCGACTGACTGGATAGAAGACAGCGTATAAAAAGTTACACCAACAATAATTCAAACTTTTATCAACGAAATCCATGAAATTTTTCTTTGCTGGTTTATGTTACACATAAACCACAACTCGTCTGATGACGATCAATAGGTACTGTACACATATCTGGTTAACTGTGTCTTACATATATGTATAACAAGGCATACTAAATACTAGGGGTGTGCGAGATATCGAAAATATCGAAATCTCGATGTTTGAGACGAGACGAGAAGAATCGAGTCGAGATCTCGAAAATCTTCGAGTTCTCGAATGTATTCAAATGTACCCTATTATCAAACAATGTAAAACAATTAGCATTTTTACATGTGAATTCTATATAAAATATTATATTATTACTTACCTGTCATATACCTATTTCCTTTCTCCTAATGCGAGATTCTAAAAGCCAAAGTAAGACGGAACTCAAGAATATCAATTTCTTGATTAAGGCTTCGTTAAAAAGTTAATAAAAATTTTCAAATTATGCTGAAAAAATTATTTTTAGCTACGGAGGTCAATTACAACCATTTTTGGTGAACAGACATATCCCCGAAATCCTACGCACTTTCGAGAAAAAAATTCGAGTAGGTGCTGAAATTAAAAAATTTCAAATCGTTCTAAAAAAATTATTTTCAGCCGCGGGGGTCAATTATAATAATTTTTGGTCAATACACATACCCCCGAAATCCTACTCGCTTTCGAGAAAAAAATTCAAGTAGATGGACAAATTGCCGTTCTACAGCCGGAACTTTGAACGTTAATAACTTTTTAATGAAACCTCGATCAACAAATTGGCATTCTTGATCGCCAAACACCCCGTATGTCTTTTTATATTCTTATCCCAATTTTTTCCCCGTTAATTAAAAATAAATATTATTATTATCATCATTTAATTAAGTTCTTGAAATTTTCGAGAATTTCGATATGTTCGAGATTCTCGAGTATTTCCAAGAACTCGCCTCGATCTCGACTCGAGATTTTCGAAACATCGCACACCCCTACTAAATACATATAAATATTAAATAACGTTTCACATATCTATACATCCAACATGAATCGTGTATACATATATATATAAATAATATCATCTAATCTAACGTTAAATAATAGAAACAATCTTGTACATTTATGTAGTAATAAGCGTACAGTACGAGTGAGCTTACAAATATAGGAATGTATATCGCGCGAGAAATGTGAAAACAGTTATTGTTGTTCGTCAGCTGAAATAAGAAAAGACGTTTATGGCATACTTTCCAGGCAACTCTTGATATGCTGCCAAGCTTGCAGCCCCTGCAATTGTTTAAGATAACGTCGATCTATCGGTGCAAGGATACGGAATTAATCGCGGCTATGTTAAAAAGTGAACTACCTACCTTCCTAGCGAGCTTGAATTGTAAAATGCAATAAGCTGCCAAAATCTCTTTTAAATCTACTACCTTTTGATGTTGAAATCTCTCTATGTCCATCATAGCTTTAATAGAAAAAGATCTAGAAAAATCAGACATAAAATGCATAAAAATTGTATTCTTATAGGGGAGTTAATTTTTTGAGCTAACGTCATTTCAATTTACGTTCGTATGTTATCTGCGAATTGCAAACGATGGTAAAAAGGAATACTATTTTAAACGCAATATTTAATCAAAATTTCGTACTTTAAATCTTCATCCACTTGTTTGACAGCTTCTTCGTGCTGTGCAATTCTTTGCTCTAGTTGCAATATCTTCAATTCACGAACTTCCTCTGTATCCACGGAACCAAATAATCGTGACATTAAGCCTGACTTACCTATAACAGTGCACGTTAATACGTAATAGATCCTATAACTTTAATTAGCAATAATACGTGACGTAGAACAGAACCTTGCATGACTTTTTCCTTCTGATCAAACGTATTAGTCAATGCATCGTGAGCTTCGTCTTTAGCTAACTGTAAAGCCTCCCTTCGTCTGACTACTGCTTGTAGCGCAGAAGCACCAAACAACCATTCTTTTAACTGATCTGCTATCAGTTCTTCCTCCTCAAGAATCGTGTCTATCATTGCTGCTAACGAGTCCAGATAGTGGCCCGATTTCTACGAAAATAGGCTGTAATGCAGTGTGTTTTGCAATACACATAGTTGCTAGGGTGTATCATAATCTTATTATTTAAAGTTATCTCGAAGCCGTTCGGAATTCCCGAAAACGTCTGTGATTCCCAACATTTTTTGTTCCCAACAAAAGATAGGGGTGCGCGAGGTCTCGAAAATGTCGAGTTTTTCACGAGATCGAGATGAACCCTCGAAAGTATCGTGTCAATCGAGAATATCGATATATTCGAGATCTCCTAAACATGGAGATCTCGATATATTCGAGGCCTCGTATACTCCTAATAAAAGGCTAATAATTTTAATATTTTCACGAACAAAACAATTGTAAGACATTTTAAATACCTACCTGCAAACCATCACCCATTTCCCTCTCTATGGCACTCCACTCACTGAACACGCGACCATAATTTGCATGTAGTTTGTACAAACTGTATTGCTTTTCTACCAATCGCGCACGCACACGAAGAAGATTGCATAAGTTATTCTAAAATGGATATTAAAAGAGTATTATATTCAATTCGTACTTACTTTCGAATAGTTAACTAAATAATCAACGTACTTGAAGTTCAATTCCATAATTTTTTATTGTTTCGAATCGTTTGTCCGGTTTTCTTAATCGCACTGCTACGCTCAGTGCTTTTAATTTTGATTCTGCTAGCTGCAAGTATCCTATGTAGAAGTAGAAACGATTACAATAGATTTTTGGAATATATGATATAACTTAACAGTAACGTATTTTTAATAAGTTATTCAATTTACCAGTCTCTTTAATACTTTCCCTCCAGCCATCCTTCTGTTGTAGAAACCCCATAAAATGCTCATCGCGAGACAGTATAGGATGCGATGCTACCCTTAGAAGGAAATTCTTCAAAAAAATTGTTAACGAATTTTAAAATATATGTAACAAAATAATAAAGAATATGAATATGTAGACATACTTCAAGACCTGCTCTACGCCGGTCAACAAAGTCTGGATCAAATGTGTCGGTGGTAACTTTTTGCCATGCGTATAGTACTTTTTTTTCTGGCAATGGAGGCAGTACAATGTACGGATAAGAAATCTCTAAATAAGCTCGAAGCAGTTCAAATTCTGTGTATCGACGCCACAGAGAACTTACTTTGGTGAGTGCACCTTTAAAGTCAGGATCAGTAACTCTACAATAATATTGTACACTAAAATACTTTCCACTTTCAAAAATCTGATATTAAAACAGTATAAATTCTAACGTGAGAATATTAATTTCGTTACACTATTACTCACTTAGTCTCAATGAGGTAGACTGTATAAAATTCTCTTAAATTCAATGCTCCGTTTGCTCGTTTTTCAGCCTCAGCTATTGAGATCTCCATATGCTCGAATAATGAATCCTAATACACAAATTAAGTAATGCAAAATCCCAAGGTACAGGAAATGTAGGTATATGATTTATTTAGAACTAGGTTTTTGTACACGAAGTGCTAAGTTTCTACCATTCTAAATTATGCTTTTGTAACAAAAAGTTAACAGTAGACATTACATGTTATATGTGGAATTAAAACATACAGGAATGTTTTATAAAGTAGGCTAAAGCATTGTTTTGAACAATGGAAGATTTGCATGAAGCGTTGTAGGGATAAAGGAGGGGTATATGTTGAAGGTGATAATGAGTAAATATGTATGAAATCAAAATAAAATGTTTTACAGCGTACAGTCCCATTATTTAATAGCCACACCTCATATACTTCACAACAATTATCAATAATCTTTGATCATTTGATACCTTCATACCAATAAAACACTGAAACTCATGCAAAAGGTAAATTACTATTCAAAAAAAGATTATAGTGACAGTTCAGTATAGGTAGTTATACATTAGTATTTTGTTAAATTAGACAGGAGAAACCACAAATGCAAAAAATAGTGTGCAGGATTCCAACAATTGTGTAAAAAATTATATATGAAATAGTTTTTACTAATTGTAAACATTCCATGTTGTTCTATTACTGCATAATAATGTTTAGCTGTAAATGGCATGTACAAAGGTACAAGTATAAAATTCTCCCTCATTCACCATGGTTATCATACATATTCTTCAAAATAATAACAGTACATTGCAAAAGAATACATAAAAATTAAGAATAACCTTAAATATATGGTATAAAATAATGTACAAGCACATGAGGTAAATGTGTATACATTAAATAATTATTACAAAAATTTAACAACAGAAATTATTAATGACATGGTATTTTATTATTAAATTATATTAAAACCTATAAATATAAAATCATGCAACTGGATAACATTCATTAACAACGATTCAATTTTAGTTCGAGTTTGTACATGCTTAGATGCCTGTTTAAAATATAGGTTTAAATGCTTTGAAACAGTCGCGTGTATATACATACTCTAAGTACCGCCAACACTAATGCAATGGTGCTCACAAACAATTTATGACCTACTTCCACGTAATTCCAAACAAAACGAAATCTTTCGGTCTATCGTTTCCTTAACGAAATTAATCATTTTCGAGAAACGCGATACTTTTTTTTATATAGACGCAGAAATAATTATCACTTCCTGTGCAGGTATTTTCATTAAAAATAATATAATAAATGGAAAATTTCAAAACTGATGACATCCATCGATTGAATGCACACCACCGTAAATTCATTAAGAACACAAACATAGTTGTCAAAAACAAGGTCATATAGTCACATCAAACACAGAGGCGTGAAGCTTTAATTTCTTATATCAACCATAACAAAGCATGAGAAACACTGCGCACCGTTTCAATTCTTTTAGAACAAATGTACGCGTGATTTCAGTATCGTTGTAACTAAAATCTCCGGTTAGTGCAACGTCGATGTCTGCGATTCACAGAAATAGAATGACAATCAACAAATTCGCAAAGCTATTCAAAGAGGAACGCGTTTAAAGCATAGTATCGATTTGGCGGACGAATTAAAACGGAAGGAGACTCGAAGCGTCACTTACCTCTTTCTGCGTCTCCGCGGCTGTCATATTTGCGTTTGCCTCCCTCTGGTAATTTCCGTTTTGAAACACCTCTTCCATGATTCCAAACCGGCCTACAAATCTACGAAGTAGTAAAGGAATTTCGAAACCTTTCACATCACGTACACTTTCTCCATTACTGGCGAACCGCTCGATTCGACTGAGCACTGTTCATTGCACCTAGCTAAATTCCCTTTGAAACTCTCGATAAAAAGGCCGTTTTATCAGTGTCTCTTTTTCAAACACTTTTCGTTAATTTGATGGTCGCGTTCGTTATAATTCTCCTAAATAATTCACTGGTAGATGTTCGTTTGGAACACAGTCGCATCTTCCGAATATTTGTAACTGACGACGGTTTAAATTCTGTCTAGGGATTTTTTGCGGTTACGTTAAAAACTCCCGAAATGGGCGCGCACATTTGATTCTTTCTAGGGTTGAAATAGCTTCCGTATTATGCATTGGTATTCATTCATCCCTCGCATTGCAAATGCGAAAAGAGGTATAACAATTTATAGATTGGATATAAGTATTACAGTTTACTGGACAGGAGTAAGAAATTAAACTTCTAATGTCGCGTTTACTTTAAAACAATAATAAAACGGATTTATTGTATAACAAGATTGCTGTTTCATTAATACGTTATTTTGATATTTAATTAATGTACTACTTAACAATTCACTGGCTGGTAGATTATTTAAAACCGATAGGGAATCGTTCTAAAATAATTTCATGCCATGCAGTCACGAGATTTACTAAAAATCTCACTTACGACACGCACTCAGTTCCGCGGCTCGCTTGATTTCACGCACACATATAAAACGTGAGGAGACCTTAATGCTACATGAGTGCAATTGCACTGTATTTACATATTTACATGATGAAAAATCATGCACCCAAATTACACAGTTGGTGAAAGACCAGGGACAAAGTATATTTACACGTAATCCTTTCAGCTATAATTAGCTGATGCTACAATTTCAATCGGCTAAGTTGACCTCAATATTCGTAAACACTGATGTCAAGCTATGTCCTTTGATTTTTCCGTTTGTGGCTTCTTTCGAGGTAAAAGAAGCACCAAAAAGGCTGATACTGAAAAATAAATATTTAAAATAAAGCATTAAACATTATAAAGTCTCAGTGATGATGCAGAAGCTATCATTTTTTAAAATAAATCACATTGCCTCTTGAATGGTGACTGAAGTACTACTTCGTGTGAGGGGAAAGTCCCTAACTTTTACACCAATTATGTTTTTTCTCCTTCAGGGAGGGGTCTTGATTAGTACTAGAGCTAGTGACTTTTTTCTTATGGCGTGAGAGTAGTATTTTAGTCGCCGTCCAGATGGCGCGCATGGTTTATTCTCAAAGATGGCAGCTTTGTGATTATTGACAAAACTTTACCAATCCATTTGCATTAATAATAATAATTATTATGCATTATATGCATTAATAATAATTTTATAAAACTTTACCTAGAGAAGCACATCCAATCATAACGAAGGGACCCAGGCAGGACAATTTGAACAGAACTGGGAACAATGTATTGCCTAAAACTGCTCCAAATCTACCAATCATCATAGTTAAGCTAACTGCCATAGTCCTGTAGACAAGTATAAAGTGATTGATCAGTGATTGATCACGTAATAGAAAATAATACGCTTTATTACAAAATTGTTGTACCTGAAACGCGTTGGAAAATTATCGACAATAACGTTTACGACACAAGCACCGCCTATGCTCGACATAGCGACGAAAACTGAAGATAAACCGAGAATACTGTTTGAGCTTGCCGCCCAATAAAGAGATCCGCAGCAGGCAGCTGCTACCATGAAACAGGTCGCTGAAAGTAGAAATTAAAAATGCGTTCAAATTGCACGGACTCTGTATTTAATTGAAGATTTTTTATTTAGTAATAATTTCACTCGAATAATTTTTTAATTTAGCAATCTCACCTATGAGTTTCTTTTTTCCTACCACGGTAATTAACGTGCCAGCCAACGTATACCCGATAACTCCTGTAGTAGCTATCACGATGGAATTAATAAACACTCTTGCATTCAATTCCGCCTAAAATTAAACATATATAAGAGCTATGACGATCGTTGGATTTTTATTAATTATAACAGTCTTGACAGAGTAGAGTTTGAACAGTTGCTTATATGATATCTTTTACTGATTTTTGTGTATACTCTGAACAATTTTAAAAGCTAGGACAAATCGTATCTTTTTAATTGCAAGCAGACAAATATGGATACTATCTTTTTTTTTTGTATATTTCGAATTGAGTCTGTATTACTAAAATTAGTAACTAGCAAGTGATTTCAGACGACAGTCGTTAATGACTCATTCAAGAAAATAATTATCACTGTAAATGTTGTAATACCGGTATGCACTCGTGTGCAAGGCTTAAAGTTCCATTAACGGAACTTGTTGGGAAACTATTCGTTTGATCTTGGCCTAACATATAGCAGAAGCGTGGCTGCGTACTCGAGTATTCGATCGTATGGTAGTTGTTCTTGAAATGTTCCATCATTGAGAACAATTGAGGCATCCACAGTCTGATTGAGTTCGATCTAAAAATTGAAAATCATGTTGTCATCTCGTGTACGGTTTTGCTAATAATGAAAATGATACCACGAACACCGCGACAGCGAGATTGGATTAAGAGAAATTTATTTATTCTGACCCTAGTGTTGCGCCAAGTTGAATCAAACTGATCGCGAAGAGTTTGTAGACATTGGGTGGCAAGAAAAGGGGTTTGACCTGTTGCAAGCACGATCTCACTTTATCCTTGAAGTTCTCTTTCGTAGTTTTAACGGAATACTCATCCTGAAGATCCTTTATCTGTTAATGAAAATTCATGTTCAAGCTAGTCCCGAAAAATAACGATTATTCAGTCCTTAAATTAAAATTGATTCTAAAAATTCTGCAATAGTAAATTCACTTTGAATATAGTAAACTGTACATTTAATCAAGGAAACTCCGTCGTTAAAAATCATTTTTAAAGAAGAAACAAATATTGTGAACACTGGTAATGCAAAATGGCGTAAGTCTCGAGCATTCATGATTTATGACCAAAAAAAACAGACGCAACAGAGTCAAAGAAACACGTCAGGCCGGATGTAATTATACATACATGTAAAATTTGATTTTTATCTATAGACTAATAAGTATAATTTGTTCGTGCATGGTAATAACTGCTTAACATTTTTTTACCGGATATGTATCTGGATCATTGCCTGTATTAACCGAGTAGATTTTCTTGAAAACCTCCAAAGCCTCTTCCCTTCTGCCTTTCAACAGGAGAAAACGCGGACTTTCGGGGAACGCGAATATTGCTATACAAGCAAGAAACTCTGGTAACGAGCAAATTGCCAGAAACACTCTCCAAGAGCTGATTTCTACCGTTCTGCTCAGGATATTTATATTCCATTTCTGTGGTATGATCAGCCACGCGATGCCTGCAATAATTATTTTTACGTTTCTGTACAATTTATGCCAAAAGAAACTGCAAGTAGCTGAATCAATTAAACAACGAGATAGAAGAGTTAATAGATAATAAACAAAATTTATTCTTCGGTTTTTATTATGGAATGAAATTCTAAAAACTAGTACATCGACGATTATTGAAGTAAGTACTCGTGAGGTCATTAGCAGGCGTAGTAGCTTTGTTTTGTGGTTTCTCTTGAATGTAGAAAGTATATTCAAGATCTATTGCTATACTCTACTACAGAATTATGTAAAAAACAATGGAAAGCTCATCTATATTGGAATTTATTTATAACGTATTATATTCGTATGTTACAGCTATTATCAAGGGACAGTCTTCTGCGCATCTACCTTGCGCACATGCAACTCCGCTGATGGCGCTAGTGTCCTGTGACCTCGTGGAAACTTCAACCATCGTTGGTCTACATATGAGTAACGTATCTTTATTTTTATTAACTTAAGTTTATATAGTAATATATAGTAATATTTTGTAGAAATTAATTATTCAATTTCATCGCCAAATGCAAGTTTTAGAAAAAACGAAGTTAAATGGGGAAATGAAAATCGAGTATTAGAATATAATGAGGAATTTAATATCAGAATATGAAGAACGCGATACTTACAAGGCAAGGAAATATTTCCAAGCGAAAAAAATACACCTAACCACATGTAGGTTCGAGATCGTTGTGTTTCGTTGTGTAATTCCGCCAAATACGACATCAAGGCAGCGTACGGGCCAGATATACTAAAAATATTGAAGGATTCGATTAAATTATCGTCGCGAAATCATGTTTATGCTCGGACCATAAATATACGCGAACATTCATGCATGATTTCTATAATTACTTTTACATATCCCGAAGAAAGATAATGTGTGAAGATATAATTCTTATTTTGACGAAGTTTTAGTCGAAGAAACGTTGATCTTTTATTTATTTTTCATTTTAAAGTGATAATTTTTTTTTCCTCTTTTTTTTTGTTAATGACTCATACATATAAAATTACTTCGCGTAAAATTTGTGTGATAATAATTATTTGAAACGTTCCACGATTTCATGGTATTGATCATCTTTGTATAAACTTACATCACGCCGTCGAGAAATTTGAACAAAATTAAAATCCAAGAGGTATGCGAGAAACATGTCGCCAGACTCAAGATCCCGGTGAACATGTAACCATAAAACATGATCTTCCTACGACCATACGTATCGGTCATGAATACCCAGAAAAACGAAGAGCTGATCATACCTGAAAGCAATCGAATCTTCAGTAACAATTGCAGCCTCAAAGATTGCTGTTTATCTGTGACATATAGTAACGATACAATTTAAACTGTATAGAAAATTACCAATTAATCGCATAGGAAAGGAGAGTTTACGTTTTCAGAGAATTCAACCTGATCGAAGTATTTTGTTCGAAACAATAGGGAAAATAAAGAACAAATCCGAAACGTAGATAGCCGGTGGTAGCATTATTATTTAGAATAATATGTTTCGACTTCTGGTTTAGGTTCTCTTTAGTATTTAAAATTAGAATCTAGGAAGAAGCATGCAATAGAACCTCGATTATTGCATGAAAGCCTCGTTCATTGTACGATGTTGACAAATGGTGGTCGCTAAATAACAAATATACAGGGTGTTCAGACACCCCTGGGAAAAATTTTAATGGGAGTTTCTAGAGGCCAAAATAAGACGAAAATCAAGGATACTAATTTGTTGATTGAGGCTTCGTTAAAAAGTTATAGAAACATTTCTGGCCACACAGTATATTTTCGGTGAAGAATTTTTTTCTTGAAAGTGCGTAGGATTTCGAGGGTATGTCTATTCACCAAAAATGATTATAATTGTCCCTAGTATGCAAAAAATAATTTTTTCAGAATAATTTGAAATTTTTTAATTCAATTTTTTAATAACTTTTTAAGGTAGCCTCAATCAACAAATTGATATTCTTGATTTTCGTCTTATTTTTGTCTCTAGAATCTCCCATTAAAATTTTTATTCTATATTTTTAGAAAATATAAAAAGTTTTATTCAACATTTTGGATTTATTTTTTTTCACGTAGAATCATTTCTTAATATTTAAATACACGTGAACAGGACAGTGACAAGGCAGGTGCAGAAGGGGCCCTGGGCGTCATATCATAACAATTTAAAGAAAATTACTTTAACACTACACTGTCCACATGATTTGTGTAAAAACTCTTTTGTACACTCTGAAAAATGCTTCTATTTATTCCTGCTTTTTCTACCAAAATTCAAAAACAAAATTTTGTCGCAACGAAAATGCAAAATATCTGTATACACTACTTCTTAAAAGTATTTGATCATGCGTGGCGTCGTTGAACTTGCATATATTTATTGTTATAAAAACAATAAAACGACATATATTATTGATTTCTAAAAAAGTGGTAATCAAATACGTATCTATGTTAAGTTAGCTCCCTCCACCAGCACAAATAAAATATTGCGCTATTTTTGTGCTAATAAAGTATGCAAATAGTCATAATCATCAACCATAATGTGGAACCCCGTCATTCCTTCCATTTAAGTGGAGGTTACGCAATTAATTAGTAAAAAAAATAGCAGAATATTTTACAGTAAATACGAATTCTTTTTGGTGGGAGAAGGCTAACTTAATATAGGTAAAAGTCTAATTCTTTTATCAATCGTTCGTATAACAAATGATCAAGTCAAGGTAGTGTATGTGTATTTGCTACAAGGAAACGAAGAAAGGGTGTGTCGATATTGTCCCAGGGGCCAGGATACCTAGGCACGGCCCTGCACGCGAAATAGAAACCTCTAGTTCAAATCAAACTCGAAGCGTACCGAGTGCACTTTGACCCCTCTTGACAGGCATAAGCTCATCCGGGGATTACGGTCGCGATTACGTAACTGCCAATAACTGAATACCACCTGCGAATGTCATCGAGTTGAGTAGACCCTTGCGGATCATAGTGAGGCCCAGGTCGCATTCCGCGGACGGCAGCACGTACGATATCGCTGACGACGAGAAGATGCTGGAGAAACTGGCAGGCAGCACAGCTAGCAGCAACAAGTAGTTGAACTTTCCATAACCTAGTGGCAGATTAACGGCGTGGTATGACACTTATCATCAAATTAATCTCGTGGAATGACGCTTGTCACTCGGGGCTTACAAGGGTATTCGACCATCTCTGGGAAAAATTTTAATGAGAGATTCTATATGCCAAAATAAGACGAAAATCAAGAATAGTAATTTGTTGATAGATGCTTCGTTAAGAAGTTATTGACGTTTAAAGTTACGCCTGTAGAACGGCAATTTGCGAACAGCTGCGCGCGCACGATAGTGGTTCTCATTCACAAAACTGTAAGACTGCCGATTAGTCAGATAGTTCTACAGGCGGAACTTTAAACGTTAATAACTTTTTAACGAAGCCTCGATCAACAAATTACTATTCTTGATTTTCGTCTTATTTTGGCCTCCAGAATCTCCCATTACAATTTTTACCCTGTATAAATGAAATTTCGTAGAGTGATGAAACTTGGATTGCTGAAAATCCTGATATATGGATTTTGTTTAAAAAATTCGAGCCTTTCTAACATTTAAAGAACGAAAAAGTTTTATCGTAAATTTTGTCGACTATGCCACACTGTTATTGTTATAGAATCTCAATAATAAAGCAGATGATTACTTTTGAAAACACTAACGTGTCTTTTAAATTAGTAACTGAAGTTCTGTTATTGTATAAAAGGTTGTTTGAATATCGGCATACCCATTAAGAACCAAAGGCTTTGACTGAAAGCTCTTTGTTTTGAGCATTTTTTTTTTTAAGTTGAACGATAAATTAATAATTGCATAATAGGACAGTTGAGTGTTTTGTTTCTGACATGCATGCTTACCAGATTTTACTATCGCCTTTTCGAAATCTGCTGGGCCGGGCTCCTCGGGCTGTACGTCCTTACCTATAATTAAAAGTATGTAAAATTATATTTTTATCGAAGCATTACTAGAATAATTATTGAAAGCGTTAATATTACATTTCGAAATTCGTAATTATTTTGCTTGTTTACATTTTTTTTAAATTACAGTTTGCATAAACGTTCAACTTTGATAAGATATGAATATTATCAATGTATGGTTGTTGTTAACTATGTGAAAAGATAAATTATTATTGTGGAATTAAATTAAATATGGTTATCGTATATTGCATTACAGAGATAGCGAAGTTATTTGTATAATAATTATTAGACATCTATATAATTAAATTCTGTGGCAATAAAAATAAAGAAATGTTTAAATAACGTACACCGGATCTGCGAGTAGCTGAACATTGTAAGTATATCGATGAATTTTTGGAACACCATTGTTCACGCACTATGTTTAACACAATTAATTGATATTATTAAACGTTTGTTTGAAATATAATAACTCATTAATGATTTATATATTTAATCTCTCGTTTTCATATTAAAATCTATAAAATTGTAATGATAACCGAATTCTGAATTTGAATTCAAATATCTATTTTGGAAATTAAACTTGGTTAATTTCAATACAGAATTACTATTTAATATTTAATTATACTCTTACGATTTATTCGACATTTATTTAATAGCGTCTAGTAGTTACTTAATTATTTAATTTTGTACACTATTTTTCCTTGAATATTTGACTTTGAACGACCGTGTACGGACCTCGAATGACTTTTCAAAATCAAAACGTTTCATTTGCCACGTTGTTTCAGTTTGTTAATATTTTATTATTAAAAGTTTGTTGTTCAATACATAAAAATATTTCAATTGATCAATTTGACAGTAATAATTATAAACTAGAGAAATAAAAATCTTAGTACAAATTTTACTATAGTTTATATAATATAATGAAAAGTTAAAGGTAGTTAAATAGTAATCGAATTATATTAAAAACTGTAACAATATTGTTAATGATTACTGTTATCTGATCTTACGTATGATTATGTTATTTCACAGTAGAAATGGTTAAAAGAACCGTTTATAGACAAAATGTGGTAAATTTTACACTTAAAAGACAAGTATTCGGTTCAATCTTGGTTAGATTTCTAAGGTTGCAGCACAATTTTAACAAATTAGATTTAAACGGTGGCGAAACGATAGTGAACGAAACACGACTGAAGATCAACTCGAATACCAGAATTCTAGGCCAATTAGCTGTTTACATTGATGGGTTATTGTTTTCGTATATCTGTACAAGCAGAGCTCTCATACAATACCGAGTGTCTGATAATTTCCTAACATAAATTTTGTGTAGTATATTCTTATTTTGGTTTTAATAATTTTGGCCCTCTTTGGGAACACATTACACGTATATAAATTCTATAGAAACAAAAGTAAGTAATTGATTATCGTGGAAATTGTAAAAACATTTATTTTATTCATAATTGTTAAAGAACTGATAATAACCAACTGACATTCTGGATTTTCCAATCATTTTGTGTGCAATTTTGGTGAAACATTTTATTCTTTCTGGTGGATGTACATGATATTTAACTGACTTTTAGAATAAATATGATGGATAAGAATTATCCATCAAACAGAGAATAGGCTAATAGAAATGGTCTTTAAACCCTGATTTACCAGTTATACATGTTTCGTCGCGAAAGTGTGATATAAAGAGAAAGTGTGAATTAGTTTTGTGGTAGAACATACTGCAACAACTTTGCATTGATGCTAATCTCCTGCAGATGGATTCAATGCCTTTTTACGTTTCTACAAGTAGTATTCAACGTATGCGCATACATTAAATAAATCGAGTAATTGATTTAGTAATTAAAAATCGATCTAGTCTCTAGCAGTAAACTCATTTAAATTTAAAAACAGATCGATCTATAATTGAATTACAAGTTCATTGCAAAGAATCGTATCTACAATTTTTCTAATCGACTTTCCAGATCGTAATTCAATTTAAAGTGTTTAAATGTAGGCAAACAATTATAGTATCACGTCATGCCATACTATATTCAATATTTTGTCAATAGTTAATCCCGTTTAGGCTAGATATTTCGTTAGAACTGTTGTGTCATGTGATTGGTAACACAATGCTTCTGCGCACCTACCTTGCGCAGTTATTTAGCGTTTCGATGCGCGAAACCGAGACGCATAGAAAGAAGTGGCTTGAACTGAGCCACTTAGTTCTATGTTATTATACCTAACTACGTTACGATATTTGAAATAGAAAATTATGAAACAACGATCGAAGCAACAAACATGCTATATTGTATTAGTTTAAAATCTATCACAATGCAACTCTAACAAATAGAAACCAAAGTTTAGTAGAATTCTTTTGTAGATGAAAATATCAAAATATGAGTAAAACATAAATGATATAAACAATAAGTGTTTATCTGTTGCTCGATAAAGAAAATTAAAAAGTTGAATTATACAATAAAATATTTCACATCTATGTATATCTAAATCCAAGTAAATATTACCAGAATCGTATTACTACATTAACATCTTGCAATAATACAAAACAAACTACAAAAATAATATCGTTACGAGATAAATCTCATTATCTTCCAAATTATTTATAGTTACGTCCTCTAATTATAATTCGAAAATATTCATCACTCTTCAATATTTTCTATCTGATGATTGATTTAATACATATGTTTATCACAATTCTATTTGTGGAGGATTATACGAAGTTATCTTGAAAAAGTCGTACATTTTAAGCCAAATTGTTGATATAAATAAAATGCTCGTTGCTGTCACATCAATGGCGTAACGAGGCGTGTACAGCGTGTGTGCAGCACGTGGAAGCTTATATTGTGGGAGGGGGTGGAGGGACTTTGTAACAAATAAAAAACATGATATCCGTTCATTTTTCCTCATTTTTTTTCTGTTAACTATACATACTTCTTTCGCAAATATAAATTTTTTATTACACAAAGAAAGTTCCCCGATTGTTTTTATACAAAAATTTTTGGCATAATACGACAGATGTTGGTTCACAAGTTTTGTCGATAATTTTTCGTCAACAATTAAAAATATCTTTAAGCGAGCCAAACTAGCTCAATGTTAAATAGGAGAATAAAAATTTAGCAATTTTACTTTTTCTTCGTATTACATGACTTTATCTTGAACAGTTTAAACGATACAGTTTCTAATAAGCGAGTACCCGTATATAATAAGTGCCAACCGAAACAATGTCACGATTACGCAATTATATGACCATGTTATTTGTGAAGAAGTTATCGCAACATTTATAGCTCCTTTCGAGAAGTTCACACAATTCCAATACGATTCTTTTATTTTCGTAAAAATGTATACACTGCAAAATTGCCTGTAGTTATAATATCTGTTAATGGTGTTAAAATACAAATTCGTATCATTGCATCGATATATTTCAACGTAAATAACTTGCAAATAATATTTATGGGTTGTGGTAACTTTAAATATGGAATGTGAAACCCGTTGAATTGACGGATTCCGTGCTTCTGGTGCAAATAATTCTGCCATCTTCTTTTCTTTTTGTTGCTACTGTTATGCACGTATTCGATCCGACAGATAAATAGTAAATCGTTTCGATACGATCAGCAACGAGGAACAATTTTGTAATAGAAGAACGGTGTGTTTGAACATCGATGAAAATAAATATTAATGAACCCATCATTCTCTAATGATTGTTGGTCCCGCGCGTGTTTATCGTGATTGAATGATTATCTTTTTTCGATTAATCGGTGCGTTCTCTCCGAGTGTCGCAATCGCCGCCATTTAGATTTTCACCCAACGTTTCCGGAAAATTTCCGTGTAAAAGCAAAGACGAACAAGTATGTTGATTAATAAATAAAAGATAAACAAAATTGAAAATAGCCTTCTCGAGCAAATAAATTACATTTAATATTTCAACATCAACTTAAAAATACAATACAAATCTAGACTCTTCTGTGCTCGAAACATCAATGGCCCTGAAATCTTCGAAAAGTGACTTTGGAAAATATATTTTCATTTAATTAGATAGATAGATTTACATAAAAATAATTCTTGAATTTAAAAATTTTTTTTTAATTAATTCTCATTTTCAATGGAAGTTTCATTGTCAATGGAAACTTCTTAGATAATAAATAAATAGTTATTGCATTAGATATCCCCGATATCAATATATTTCTATTCAATGAATTGTTAAATTGTTAAATCGTCCTTCGATAGTTCGATAATGTTAATAGCTCTCACTATAAAAACTTACGATGTGTAAAGTTTACTATTAAATTATTTATCTTTTTAAATACGCTGGCTTGTCTTCGTTTAAATTAAAGCGTTTCCTGTTGTTATTGTGTAATATGCGAACGAACGTACAGAATTTTTTTTCGTAAAATGCATCAGCATGCGAAATTTTACTTCCGGGCGCACTGTTTATAGCGTTGCAAAAGATTGCACGTGTTTGTTTAGAAACGATACTCATCGCGTTCAATAAAACTTTACGTGACTTTCGAAAGAATTCCATGCTTACATACGTGATTTTCTGGTTTTTTAAATTCGATAAATGGAAGAAGATGTAACATTAGGGCATCAATATGAACTTATTTTTTACAGCAGAAATATTTCCCAATTAAATTCCACGTTAAATTCTTTAATTAAAAAATAATTCTAAAATTATAAAAAAATCAATTTTTTAATTTAAATTAAAGCATAATGGGTTATGTATTGAACGTGGAGTTTAATTATCATAAGACACAGTGGCCTTTTGTATTATGCATTGTGTAAAATTTGTTATTATAAGAAAGATTAATTCTTACTCCATTTTCCAAATTTTTAAAATTTTACCCTCTATTATACAATATTAATATTGCAAATGATAGGTATTTAAAAAATTTTGTAATTACATACTCTAAATTATAATATAATGATCATTTATCTCGTTTCAAAGACTTCCATGATTTTTCTGTTCATCAATTTGCGTTAGGTTCTATAACAGCATTATTTGTTGAACGTTGCCCGCAAAAAAAAATAAAATAAAAACAAACAAATATACACGGTGTCCCACGCAACTGGAACAGGCTATACCTCCTAAACGGTTGGGAATAGAAAAATATGTTATAAGTAAATGCCATAATTTCAAAACACTGGGACAGCATACAGTGACTAGTATCAGCAGCCACGAAGCATTGTAAGGCAGCACAAACATTGTAAAACAACAGAAACATTGTAATGGATTCGGAGAACTTTTATCTTCGATAACTGCCTAACGGATAAGTTTAGGGCATAAGTATGTTAGTACTTTTATGTAGAGCATAAGAAACCACATCAACTGATGCAGTAAAAAATGTAGGCTTCCATTTAAAAAAAAGGTGCAGTTGCATTTTTCTGATGCACCAATGCACAAAAGTGCATAAAATTAGTTGCATATTACACATCGTCTGATACCATTTAACTTTGAATTACAACATATTTTTCTATTCCCAACCGTTTAGGAGGTATAGCCTGTTCCAGTTGCGTGGGCCACCCTGTATAAATAATGCAGATTCAAATTAACTTTTCTTAAGACGACAGCCACGAAGGAAATGCACTCCAACGTTTGCATTAAATTTTCTACAAAATATCTTCCTCCAGATTTTACGTGTGCAAAAAAAATTCCGTTGTTCGTCGAGAATTCTGCCACCACCACTTCACAAACAAAACTTGCCTCTGTATTTCACGGACGAATTCATTAAATATCCTCTTATTTGTGCGTTTCTCTTCAATCGGTCGTCGGGTGGGTCTGACGGTGAAAAAAAACTCACACAAAGTAAACAGGGCGCAGGGAAACGGTGGACGTCGATCGAGAAAAGGAAATTGAAAAGACCGCGGGTCGCGCACCGGTAAAACTGCAACGTGCACCGCGAGACGAGTACGAACTTAGGCAGTTTCAGTCGCGGACACCTCACATGCCTGCCGCGAAACTACAATTCGCGTGGAAATCGCGCGAACGCAAAAGCCACCTGTACCGTTTATGTAAATGTCGCCCCTTGGTGGGGCGAAACAGGTTGCTGAAGCAAATCGCGGCAGAGATAGGCAAAAACGTCACCTCCACCCACGTCTGTGTGTTTGTGAAGTTGTAATTGTTCCCTTTTTTACTATAGATTTCATCAGACAACCGTTCGTCAGGTGCAACCCCCAAACCGGGGATTCCCCGAACTTATACTGGCCCAGATCCATTCTCGAAAACTTACTTTCGAATTAATATTAGTTTTTAATGGGATCCTAGAGCAGAGATTCCTAACTTGGGGGTCCATTGTTGTCGTAGATTTGTTCGCGAATTTAGACAGAGAATTACTATTTTTTTTTTAAACAATAATTTTGCTCATTTTGTGCTTCGAAACGCCGACAGTTAGACTACGATAAATCTTCCAATGTCGTGAAGTCACCATTACGTTTATTACCGAGATATTATAATCTTTCTTGACTAAACTGTCGTAAATTGTGAAACGTTGGCGAAAATGCTACCAATCGTTTTGGAATGAAATGTGAAAAAATTAGTTTTCGTTGTCAGGACGTTGACTATATTTGAGACAGAATAAATTGCTCTGTCAAGGTCGCTAAGAGGCTTCCTCTACTATAGAATTTAGGCAACCAGTTTATCTAATCTGTGGTGTGCATGTGGCATGATTAGAAACACATAGAGAGTAAAAGTGCTGGTCTGGCATGATTTATAGCCGAGGAAATGATCTTGACAAGCCAACTTTCTCTGCTTCTGGTGTAACAAAAATTTGCTCAAGTATTGAATAAGACATCTTAGTTTTGTAACAGTAGCAATCCAACGTATAACAAAGCGCAGCTATCTGGAAGAACATTTTTTATGCATCGAATCGTTAATAGACAAATATAAATGTGAGATCAAAACTTCATGATAATAATATTCATCTGAAATCCTAACCTCAACTGTTAGGTTCGAGTATTAGAATGAAATTAATAATAAATCTCTATGAAAAATTGATGTATAAACTCTGTCAAATATCTATTTATATTTGTATTATTGGAGTAATTTCTGAACCGAAGAAATATTCCAACGAATTATGAATTCAGCTACTATAGCCAATCAAACATGGCGTTTCGAAAGAAGAAAGAGCACGGTTTATTTTTGCTTCTATCAGTTGCGGATGGAGATAATTTTGTAGGAAACGAAGTAACTGGATAGTTCGGATAATAATTGACCGAGCAACAATTTTCTTTTCATTTTCTGAAGAAATTTTTATATGTTTGCTGCTGTAAACCAAACATTATCCCAGATCGCTACCGGCAGTGATGGATCTAGATCTATAGGCGTCCGAAACGTTCGAAATATTTTGTGAAAAATAATACTATTATTAACACACATTTATCACTACTCTTCTCACGCTTTGATCTCTCTCCTTGTTGCAAAATAATGGAAAAAATCTTGGGGAAATTTTAAAGTTTGCTCTTTATTAATTTGTTAATTATAAACGTTATAATTCAGGTAGTACTTCCGTGCACTTATTATAGTTTACTACCCTTCTGCAAAATAATCATTAATAAATCTATAGGTGTTTTCTAAATTAATGTTCAGCGCAATCAACAAACTCATGTACCAACTTTGTATATACCCATGTGTCTTTTGTAATAACTTTCAGTCTTTGCTTTCATCTAGCAATATGTATAACACCCTGGTCATAATTGTGTTAATAATTTAACTTGCCTAGGTGTCAGGTTCGTTCAACTACGCTCCTGCCTGTGGCTCCTGTTCACGAGCAACGTCAAGAAGAAGTCCTTTTTACTCCTCGTGAAGATGATGCATGAGAAGATGACCCGTAGGAATGTGGGTGCCATTAGTCATAATATTTACAGCTTCTAGGTCACACGAACTATGCAAAAAATCAAGTAAGTTGTCGACAAATCAAATCGTTTGCACCACTTTCAATGGGGGGCATGAGGCTGGAGTGGGACTTCCTGGCAATCTTCCAGGTCGAAAACCCCGATGGAGCTGATGTTCTGCTATATCTGGGTTACTGCTTCGGTAGTGATCTGGTGAGGAGAATTTCGGTGAAGTTGACGGGTCCTACTCTGGTCAAATCCACTCGCCTCACCTCCACGTGGGGCCCCTGGGACCCTGGCCCGACTTGATCGGGACTGGGTGCGAAAGAGCGAGTGGTAAACATGAGAATTAATTCATATGTTTAGAAAGAATGACCCAAAAGTAAATTTAGTACCAAATTGACTTGAATTGGTAGAATGATACACAAGTCAAGTTGCAACCCTGTGAATCAAGGAATTCCAAGAGCTGGAGAGGTAGAATGATACTGATTTTACCACCTCCATTTTCACGATTTCTCATTGTTGACTAAGTCAATCCGCAAGTACAGTGACACCTAGGTTCTGGATGAGTGTATCTCTTTTCAATGTGAATTGTTAAGTTTGTTGTACATATTGTGAAATCTCTGTGTTCAGTTCTGTTGAAATCTCCACGTGAACGGCTTGAAATTTGCGAGTGCAGTGATCAGTGAGTTCTGGTGTTTCAATTCCTGAATTTTCTATTGTGTTTTCAATTTTATGGCTTTGTTATTGGCTCTGTAGCAGGCAAGTAATTTACATGCATTTAAGTGAACTATAATAACCTTACTGATAACTGCATAATAGATATTTAAAGTTGTCGTTATCATCACTAAATTATGGGATGCCTGAAGCGAGGACTAACCTACCGTATTAATTTTGTTTAAGTACAGTTGTCTGTAAGTTTTGTAGTAGAAATAAAAAATATTCTGTTGTAATAAATAAGGGTAGATATTACAAGAAGACAATGTCTGTTAAGAAACCGTCTGTGTATTTAATGGAAGGCAGCAGTGTCCTGATAATGGACCAAATCCACTTGAAAACGTGTGATGTATGAAACCAAAGCTTTGAAAAAAGACTGTATGGAGTTGAAAACAATCTATTTGAAAATTTCGGGTAATATGACAATCGTTGCTCCGAGAATATACGGAGAAATTAGTGGATAGCATGCCCAAAAAATGCCAGAATATAATAGATAACAATGGAGATTAGACAACATATTCGTAAGAACGAATCGTAGTTTGAAGATACACAAAATAATTGAAAGTGGTTTTATTTAATAATCTTCAACTGTTTGAAAATAATGGCGTGCACGCTTTCGTTAGACATACTATAAGCGGATGGTTTGTTGATACGAGAACTTTCTAGTTGCACCTCGCGTGCAACGGCCAATCGTTTTACGTGACACTTGAAAACTACAAATAAAGTTGGATTAGCAATGAACAATTAACACACTTCGCAAATGTCAAGACATTCTTGTCTCGGAGGGAAAATGTCAACACATTCTTGTTTCGTATGTTTTTAATTATTTGCCATAAACGAAGAAACAGAAAATACATTTCAATGGACTTTTGAAGCCTGCCATAATCGAATTCCGTCATTCAAAACTCGCTTAGACAGTTATTAAGTCCATTTGTGTTCAAAATATCTTTTTCTGTCCTTTTATTTAGTGAACAATGATCTTCGATTAACTATAGCCTGTTAAAAATGTTTAAATAAGTTCATCGAACAATAAAAATTAATGGACCCGTATTTATATTATATAATTCTTTCTAAATGGTTTGGTCGCGTCATCCCCTTTTCTCGACGCGCGTTTTAATCACGTGCGCCAATACGCTTGAAGATTGCGCACTAGAGCTGCGCAGAATCGTTATACAATCGTTTAAACAAACAACTCCAACCTTTGCACAACAAGTTTTACAAGTTATCGCGAAATAACAAACTTCCGTTAACAGACGAACAACATGTAGAGTTTAATATTAGTTACCAATCTCAGAATTAAACTATTATTTTTTTTCCAATGGTGTAAATGTATAAATATAAAGTGGAGCATAGGAAAAGTTAGTTTCAAAAAGCAATTATACAATATATAATTAAAATTATAATAAGGTTCTTCTTTTAAATATACAACAAACGACACGATATTAAATTATGTAAAGTTGAGAAAATTAATCACAGTGGCTCTCAATGTTTGCTTCAAGCAGAAGATGCAACCATGAAAGCAAAAATACTTGTTCGAGTAGCATTATTTAGCCACGAATGATCTTTTATTGAAAATATTGTTACCTTGATGGAACAGGCTACAACCGGAAACAGTTCATTTCGAATCGATTGAAATCTTGTATGCATTAACATACTAAATCATCGGACGAAGTGTATGGAATAATTCTAAAAAATTATCAACATCCACATTCAAAGAAATTTATGAATAAAAAGTGACGTAAGATATACGTGGCAATGTTTATGCGCAGATTTGTTATTAGCATGGTATGACGCCGTGATTAGACCGGTACATTCGTAATCCAGTAAAAATATAGCGACTTTGACAACATTTTTTAGGGATTTTCCACGTGTAAAACAAAGGAAAAGATAAATATTTACTAAAATTACAATCAATCGACGATTTACACTTTCAAAAAGGACTTGAATCGAAATATTTGTGATCGTAGATCTTCAGTAATTGTACGAAAATGAAAAATTCTTGCGAGTATCGAGACTAGTGCGAAGATCGGGGTAACTATTGCAACGAAAAGACTGTAGTTATATTCCTACTACGTATAGTATAGTTATTGTCAACTACCTTACTGCATCTAAACCTGCAAACCTTCAATCTTATCTGGTGTTTTAATTATTAACCGAGGTTTGCTTAATTGAGTTCGAATAATTGAGATTCCAATCGATGAAATTGGAACGGAAACAGAAACTGGAAAGGTTATGTGCATTCTGTGAAAAATCCTTCAGCTTTTGGTACGCCTGTGTTAATTGTTAAATATGCGTTACACAAAAAACAGCAAATGCATGTTTCGTATTTAATCGACGTAAAATAATAAAATTGGAAAATAAAATAGTAAAATGGCGGCACATACATGAAGCTCAAGTTTACCATAATGATGAAACATTT